ACTCAGTAGAGCGTCCAGCCCCTATATAGAGTCCATTGGTCCAAAATCCACTGTACAGAGTCCAAACTTGGAATCAACTGTGAGCTCAAAGTTTAGATGGACATCACTCCCTGTATAGAGTCCAGCCAATTGGCTTCACCCCTATAATATTATAGAGTCCATTGGTCCAAAATCAACTGTACGGAGTCCAAACTTTGAAATCAACTATAAAGATTAAAGAGTCTTATGTGGACAACACTCCCTGTATAAAGTCCAGCCAATTAGGCATCCCCTATCGAGTTCGAAATTAGACATAGGATCTGCTGTAAGCAGTGAATATTAACCAGAAAACGGCCTCTCCCTTTAATCCTTTACATCATTCACTTCTCAAGGTAAAAAATATGTATTGAGGCGCCACTGCAGCCACTTCATTACATGAAAAAGCCTACAAACACCAGCCTCAAATCAAGTTGTCTCTTCGCAGACGCTGCAAATTACAATATCTCAATCATGTAGTGTTGCCAAATAATTGTGCACGCACACACACACATGCACACACCCACACAACGCCAAGAAAATACCTAGAAAAAAAACAAGAATCGAAAGAGAATAATGGAGAGCCCAGGATTAATTATTTGTTTTCAAATTATTGCGCGCACACACACACACACACACACACACACAAACTTATACAACGCCAAGAAAACACTAAGAAAAGAGTAGAGACACAATGCACACGCAACTCCAACAGCCATGCAAAAGTCCACCCATTTACAAGTAAAGTCAAGAGGGATAACAAATAATTATACGAAACTAATGCATACAGGGACGGGTACACGCACGTTTACATACATGTAGTAGTGTAAGAGAGTAACATAGTGCAGTAGTCAGCATAATACTGGCACATGCTGAGAGTGCAATAGCAAGCTTCACCATTGCTCATGGCCATGCAAATGTTCAGCAGCACTCAGTTCCGCAAGCTTCTGAAGATCAGCACACCTGCAACAAATAGATAGCACAAGGATACACTTATTACCGTAATGATGCATGGGAGCACACAACTACCAAGTTCTCAACGAATGTGATGCTCAATGAAAATCAATCCACTCAAAGACCTGTGAACAGGTGACGGTGGGGACAATTATCTATTAGTAATACGAGGAATAAGATGGTTTGTGCACACTCAAGACGCACAGACACATCACCATACATGTAGTGTACACAGTGTTTCACTTCACTGCAACTAAATTGAAATGAGATGATTTGAACAATCTGTACAGCGTTGCCGTCAGTCAGTCTTCCCCAAGATGGAAATACAATGATTTGTTGTCACGAGGCAGTTTCACTGACACAATGTCATGTTCGTGACATCAAAACGGTTACTTCAGGGAATACGAGTATTAGCTTGAGAAGCTTTTTCTTGTCATTGGCATACAAGCAATCCTCCTACTACTACTAGTACACTGGCACTGCGTTTGTGGATCCCATTGTATTTTGACATCATACTAGAGGAAGAGTGTCGTGGAGTTTCACATAATTATCACAGGGATAAAAATACATTTCTCATGAAATAATTATAATAATTGATGATAGCTAGACGATCGTATACGATTGATGCAAAGTCCTTGCAGTCCTTGAGGACTATTACGAAGAGGTTGATTACTTTTAGGGCATTCATTCAAGCAACATCAAACAAACGCGATACGCTCCTTGAAAATGGAAAAAAATTCAAGCATAACGACAGAACAGCAGACCAATCGAAACGAGTAAAAGCATCCTTACCTCAGTCATCGTCCTGCCATGTAGTTGGACAGCCTTTTGACACGGTGGGACAGGCAGCTCTTGTCCAGTCAAACAGGGGTATCCTTGTGGCGTCGAACGAAAGAGAGTGTCAGTGTACTATCTGACTCGTCAGATTGGAACTGTGCTGAACTTTTCTCTTTCTCCGGTTTCTGCTTTCATCCCTCGCTCTGATGAAACCGTTCAAACGTCTTACTGGCAGCAATGGCCAGCCAAACAGGGGATTCCTTGTGGCGTCGAACAAAAGAGAGTGTCAGTGTACCTGACTCGTCAGATTTGAACTGTGCTGAACTTTTCTCGTTCTGCAATTTCTGCTTTCACCCCGCACACTGATGAGACGTCTTCAGAGAACCACAAGACGCTTCCCAGATTTGATTTTGAACGTCTCCTTATCCTCCTTGGTTACCTCGTGACAGATTACTGTCAGCAACTTCACAGCAGAACCGGCAGCCATGGCTGAAGCGAAGAAAGGAATGCGCTGCCACGAGGCAAGCAAAACTGAAAAGGTGTTTGTTCTTTTTCGGGCACAACACACAGGACGGCGTGACTGGATAAACTGGACTCCTGGACTGTGAATAGGGGACTGGTAGAAAAAGTGTACTCCTTAGGGGATTGCGCGGCAGGTTGAAGCTGATCAAAACTGAGTGGACTCCTGGACTCTGTATAGTGGATTTTGGACCAATGGACTCTATATAGGGTGCTGGACATCATATAGTGCATGGACTCTATACTGAGTCCTACATATATTATAGGAAGAATATTGATAAAAATAACACCTAAACAAAGCCAGAAATGTATCACTAGGTATTCTTGCAAGATGCGAACTGCGTAAAAACGAAAAATCTAACAATCTAAATGACAACATTCAAGTACGAAACAACAATTTCCTTACTACTGTTTTTTTTCAAATAGTGGTTTCGACTTCCGCGATAATTTTTTATTATAGGAATGGGTTTGCTCCCACACTGGAGCTCGCGCTGTTCCGCCGACTTGACTTGACACTTGACTGACTCACGACTGCCATTGCAGGTTTGAAGAGTCGAAGGTTCGATGGACTTCTCGTGTGCTCTGCATGGCAGTCGTGAGTCTGTAAAGTCGAGTCGGCGGAATAGTGCGAGCTCCAGTGTGGGAGCAAACCCATTACTGTGTTTTTTGTCCCTTTGAGTGTTTGATTGTTATCTAAGTTATCTTTCACGCACCTGGTATCTTGCAAGAATACCTTGTGTGTTTTGGGCATTGCTTAGGTGTAACTTATCACAATAATTATTAATCCTATAATAGGTCTGCGTCGCAATTTGTTAATCCGTACAACGATGCTTCCTGATGAGCATTGCGCAAAATTTAGCATTTTTCTTTATTTTTCATCGCTCCTACTATTGTTAAGGCACAAAACTGACAAGGATAGTCTTCGTTGCGGATCCCTTCCCCTCATTGGAACTTTCCGCACCTGAGCCTTTCTAGTTGGAAGGTTGTTGGTTTCCGCTTCGTAGATGCATTGGAGCTAGGTGTCAGGTCGTCGAATGTCTCGATATCCTTGGCAGTTTTGTACCTTGTTGTCGCACTATCTGACTGTATGATTATTATCTCGCTACCTTGGTGACTGTTAGTCAGAACGAGTAACTTATAGATCCTTTTCTCTTTGCATAATACTATTGGCTCAAGATCCGAGTTCCTATTGTTGTCCTTCACATTACATTTCCATCGTAGTTATATCTTTATCCATCACCACTTTCTCTAGAATTTGTTCGTTACATCTCAATAAAACCTTCGTGAAATGACGCTTCAGCTGATTCTGTTTATTGCCATCCTTAAACATTTGTCACCTGGCCGCTTGTTCAAACTAACATTATACTATTCATTGCAGTGAAACCTGTAACTAACGACCACCCCTTGGGGGCAGAGAAAACGGTCTTTAGTGGCAGGTGGTCCTTGGTTAGAGGTTTGCACCGCCCAACCATGTATGAATTTGAGACCATCCCTGCCTGGCAAAGTGGTCTTTAGTACCAGCCTGGTCGCTAGTCACGGTGGTCTTTAGTTACAGGTTTTACTGTAGTACCAGGCTGGTCGCTAGTCAAGGTGGTCTTTAGTTACAGGTTTTACTGTACTGAAATTTTTGGTTGGAGGAAAGCAAATCAGCACACGAAGCACAGAAGCCATAATAATTTGGACTAGGCCTTTCGTACCATTACTCTTCAATTCGAATACAATGGTGATTAACAAGGTAGCAAGCAAGTCCTTATAGCCGGCACTTTGGCGATCAGAGTATTGACAACAATAGCACTTGGAAAATAGCTACTGTAGCGTTGGCACGCTGGTGACTTCAAAGCGTATAGCGTTTAGTGTTTAGAGTATAGCATATCCCCGTACTGTATCCCCATACGTTAGCGTATCCCCGTACATTAGCGTACGGAGTCTGCCTTTGTATCAAAGCTGCTGCTCACGATTCTTTTATAGCCAGTTAGTTAATTTAGTTGCCAATCAGTTAATTTCGTTGCCAGTACATTTCAATTGCCAGTTACAGTGTGTTCACTGAGACCTTTGGTCGTTCTTGCCTCCGAGAGACTGCGGCCCGCTACACTACCTTGCTACCTTTTTAGTCACCATTGTATTCGACTTGAAGAGTAATGGCACGAAAGGCTTAGTCGAAATTATAATTATGGCTTCTGTGCTTCGTGTGCTGGTATACATTACTTAGTACTACATGTACATGTAACCAAATCAACTGCTTGTGTCATGCAGATCGGAGACAGCAAGATGATCCATAAGAAGAAAACGGAAACTAAGTTGTATTCCAACGATATCCACAACCCAATGATAGCATTGACGGATAATCCTCACTGAGAAAAAGGTTGTGATGGTGAGCCAATATAATTATGATGACGAAAAGATAACAATAAAAGGTGACCAGTTATGACAGACTGTCCCCCAACAGTTAGCTAGTTAGTTAACGAGTTGTTACGTTGGTGGACAGTTTGTCATAACTCGTAACATTTTGTTCTTTTCCTTTCTTCATCATGGGAAAAAAGGTGATGACCGTTATGCCAAATGCACACCTAACTAGCGAGGATGTTGCGACCTCGACTGTAATTGGTAAAGAAAGCGTCTGCTTCGAACGTCGGCTGCAGTCATGAGTCAGTCAAGTGCAAGATCCGACGCTCAGAGCAGAAACTTTCTGTGCACCATATGTTGGCAATAACGCCTGTCCTATCAGTATCTCTTACCATTGTCTGACCGAAGTTCCTTTCCTCGGACACGCTGCTGGGCTTCGAACACGTCTCCAATGACAATATGGAACACAAACAGTACAAGCAAAATAAACAGAGATAGCTAAGACTAGCCAAATTTTATAGGCACATCTATGAAGCGCAGGCACAAATTCTAGGAATGGCAAGTCCTGCGCAGTGGTACCATACGCACCCTTCACGCTGCGTAAAGTACCGTTGATCCGGCCCCCCACGCCATGTCGCTTCCCAGCTGGGTTTTCGGCAGGGGGGGGGGGGGCGGGAATTAGATCAAGGCTGTCAAGTGCAGTACGATGTACAACAACGTAGAGGATCAGACTCAATGTGCTGGATTGTGCACATTTTGATCCTGGATTGGCGAATATTGTGTACAGCAGTGCATGCGTCGGGTCAACATCGTATTTCGTTGTATACGCCGAAGTCGCTTCCCAAGGAGAAAATCGACAGGGGGCGGGAATTAGAGAGGGGGCGGATCAACGGTACTTTACGGTACTACTATTCTACTACCGCAGGTACGAGGGAAAATATGAGAGATACGGTATACCCCGACTACGAATGGGATAATGCATTTATCCCAGGGCCGGCAGGTCAAACCTTTCCCAAAATCTGGAGTATGAAATGTGCGAATCGTACTAAGATGGCATTGATGGTTGTACCCGTACATGTACTGTAAAGCCTAGTTCACATTCGACGCAACGCCAACGGTACGGGACATAAGGGCTTGTCGGGAGGGCTGGGGTGAGCTGTAAAATCCTGTACGATTCGTACGACACGACATGCAGCAGTCGTTGCGACGTTCAACGTCGAACGGCGCGAGTCATAAGGCACGGTCCGTGACGGGGTGACTTTTGGACCTAATTTCTCGTTTTTCGGGACTTCTTTTCAATTATTTCTCCTTGAAAGAAGCGGAATCAAGTTCACAATACCAGTTTTTCGTGAAGATCAAAAAATTAGCCCTGAAAGTTGCGGCATTCTAATAATAGCCCCAGGAAATGATAGAATAGGTCGTCTGTCACGCTTCTGAACTATCCCTAAATACAATAAGTGACATGAGATCTTATGTTGCTAAAATTCAACTCAAGTCGTGCTAGCCATTCTGTGAGTTATCATGGGAAGCGCAGTGTTCGAAATGCTAAAAATTTCCAAGTCCGAATCGGGAGCAGTCGGCGCACGACGCCGTCTCCTGTTCACACTCGAATTGCAGCCGTTTTGTACGCTTGCGTCCCCGTCTACGCCCGTCTACGGTATGAAAAGTTGGATCGATCCAACTCTTCCCGTCGCTTCCCGATCTGTACGGTAGTACGGTTGCGTTCCCGTTCCTGGTGTTCACATTGGACGCCGTCAGACCGTCCCGTCGCTTCCCGTCGATCCTTAAGCTGTGTTCACAACTGGCGCGTGGACGCGGTACGCTTGCGGTTCATGCGCCCCCAAACGCGCGCTCAGCCTTTCACAAAAAACAGCAATCCGAGTCGTATTTAGCGCGTGCGACACCTTCAAGTACTAATTTTTTGACCCCGCCAGTCAAAGTGACTGGCATGTACGCTGATACGCGCCTGATACGCGCTGAAAATTCCAACATGTTGGAAGTTCCATTTCGGCGCGTTTCCGTACGCATGGCGCCCCAAAAGCCAGCAAAAATACGCACAAACGCGTGGTTTCACGCGTACACGCGCCAGTTGTGAACACAGCTTTATCGCCGGTACGCGCCGGGAGTCAGCGGCGGTGGGCTTCTTGCAACCTCTCCCGGCGCATTGCGATTGTGTGAACCAGTTTTTTTTTTTTTAGTAGTAGTAAAAGCCTCTTTTACGGGAGAACAAAACACAAATGTGTGAACCAGTGCAGTCGTAACAAAATCATACGGTAAAATATCGCAAGGGACCGCCGGCAAAGTTGGACAGTGCCCAACTCTTGCGATCTGCCCCGGTGCCGATCCCGTACGATTTTGACCAAAAGTGGTTTGTGAACCGTTCGCGCCGGTGATCGCCGGTTGCCGGGAGCCAGACTTTGTCAAAATATCAAACCAATACTTGTCCTAAATTTTCCTAAATTGAAGCTAGAGAGGAGATCCGTTCGCCATTCTTGTAGTCGCTTCAAGGCGGCAAATATGTCAGGATACCAGCCCGCCCTTCTCGGATGATCTGCTTGACCATTGTGCAACTTATGAGACAAATACAATTGAAACAAATATAAAATTATAATGGATACATTGGCAAGTTCTTGTGACTTCATCAACGTTTGCAAGCATAATTTCGACACAATCGCTTACTAGACTGCAAAAAAATATGTAGAAGTAGTTTCATGATCTTCAGTAAAAGGTAGCACCGAGTGGCCATCACCGAAAGACCTTGAACTACTGAAGAAACAAAGAATTCAAGCTTCAATTGGCAAATGTCGTAGCATTTTGGCACATTCTGTACTACTTTGTAGTAGATTTGGTACTCGAACCGTAGGCGCAACGGATCGGGAGCTGGCTCACCGCCGATGTCTTGCGGCGCCGATTTTGCTTATGTGAACCAACCCTTAGGAGAAGAAAATTCTATGGGACTCAAAATTGACAAACAAGACGGCAACCAGCGCTCGAGCATAGTACCTTTTCGCCATTCCTTCGTGCATGATACCCATTCTAATTGATAAACACTACCCTCTCATGTTTCGTTTCATGTGCAACGGACGAAGCAAAGTGTCTTTTTTCGTCCACAAAAGAAAGGTAAGGAAATTGTCGTCTTCGCGACACCCTTCGGATTATTTAGGGGGGCATTGTGGGCCAGGGGTATTTTTTTCTTTTTCTTTACAACTGTCCCCAGGTACTGAGACGGCGCTGATATCCTAGGAGTTCTGTTGGTGCAAAATGCCAGGTTACTGACTTATGGCGAGGTTTGTCCACCCAAAGATATGGGAGATTTCTTGGATAACATACACACATAATACAGTGAATGGTATTGCAGTGGGCATCCAAAACGGTTGAACCAAACAAATATGGTATGATACCTAGAGGCTAGCCGCTAGGCACACAAAAATCCTTCAGGAATTGTACGCAATTCCCGGTGCCTTGGTGCGTCATTACACATGGACATTGTGGGTTTGCCGGCGCACGGCTTTTGCTTCACCACTTCATACAAGTTTACCCACTCACTCAGGTTGCGTTTGGGTGGGCATTTTCAGAATGTAACCATTCTGGAATGGGAATCGGCAAGAATCACCTGACCAAACTAACGCGCCAGAATCAATTAGGAATCACTTGACATAACAGTTCCATAATGTCGTTGTGGAACGGCGGCTGTCTTTTCTTTTACCCGACTCTAGTTTCCTTGAAAGAGTCATGGTACTTCTGAGTGCATGATTTGAGGCACTTGAACCTGGTGCTCCATTGTTTGGCTCGTGGCAGCCATTATCATTTTTGATTCCGGAATGAGAATGCCCATTCCAGCATGTGAGGTGGAATGATCATTCTCCAAAAAGAATCATTCTCAGCGATTCCCATTCTGGAATCATGTGGAATGTGACCAACCTAACGCACTTTTTCGACCAACGAAACGGGCGAGAATGATTTAGAAAAGCGATCCTGTCAGCTTTTCTATTATTGTGTTCACATGGCAGAAAAAACGACATCGCTATGCTACGTAAGTTTCTACGTAAGGTGCTCGGTATTTCACTTAGGCTACGTAAGTCTCTACGTAACGTGCTCGGTATTAGATCTACCAACGCGTGGTAGCCGAGTGCTGTGCACGTGCACGGCAGACATTGTGTTCAGTGCACATGCATGCAGTCCGCGGATCCGTGTTCGGATGTGCATGCGCGAGGAACTTCCTTCTTTGGAACTGCTTCTTGCATGAGCTGTTTCGGATATTTCGTCTCATGGCCTGGCTTATTTCGTTTCGGCGCTGCTGAGACCTCCTTTCGCGGAATATTACTCAATGACAGGTGAGTTGACCAGTTGCCTTTGATTCATTTGCTTGTGTTGACTCTTTCATTCAGGAAAAGTGTGCTGATTTTGGGGCGGAATGCAATAAATAATGGAAAAGTTGACAGGATCTCTTTTCTAAATTTTGCTTTTCTGCTGCCGAGCTGCGAGGCCTCCTTTTACGGAATACTCGATGACAGATGATCTCTAAGTTTACCGGTTTCCTTCGATTCATTTGCTTATGTTCACCTTCATTTACGGAAACGTGTGCTGATTTTATTCGGATTTAAATCCATTTTTATCTCTTTGCCCTTGTCTACAGTGTGCGAGGAACGCGAGTTCAACTTCTTGACGGTAAGGCTTATGTTAGATGTGTTGTCGAAATACTCATATTCATTGTACATTGGTACGTTACAAGTAAGGCACTGGTCAGTGGCATACTATCGTTGGCAGTTCCCAATCTGGAGGGAAAGGTTCAAGTACCAATTGACCGAGTTTGAAAAATAAATTCGCATATCAGGGGAAATCTCTATTGTGGAGAGGTTCAGTAACTTGTTTGTTTCATACGAAACAAGCCAATGGGTGCAGTCCCGTCTCGTGAAAATCTCGTTTGCGCGGGCCAAGTGCACGTACGCCATGACCCGATCTCACGAAATTTCCTACGACAGTTCATTTCGCGTTCCCTGCAAGTTTCGCGTCCAAAGGTGCGAAGTTTCGCACTTCATGATGTAGAGCGAAAGTTTGTACGCATTTTCGTTTGGCAGAATCTCTCTAGTGACTCAATTGTTTCATACGAGACGAGTCAATGAGTCGGTGTGGCTTAGAATCTTTCGCTGTAGAAGAAATCTATTGGTATGTCTATTGGAGAAATAATTGTATTCACTGGTTATAAAATAGGTTAAGACAAACTCACAGAATAAATACCATCGGTCCCTTGGTGTTCGTCCTAAAGAGGTTCGACTGGATATCATTCATACTCACCAAAAGATATGTAAGATTTTATCATTGTGGAGTGCCTTGTTTATCTCTCAGTACCTCCAACCATAGCCTTGCCCCTTTTCTCCTCAGGATCAGTGTAGTTGTTGGAACGAGGTTTTGGACTCAGCAATGTATTCGTTTACATTTTAATACAT